CCAGGACCCTTCAGTCCATAGGCTGACACTCTATCCACTGAGCCAAACCAGTTAGGGCTCTTGTTTATTCTAATATTTATTATTGAGCACTCACTGTATGCCAAGCTCTGGGCTGGGTCTAGATTACAAAAATGAAATGACGGATAAATCTGTGTCCTTGGCGTTTAGAGTCTATCAGACACAAAGGGGCAATAAACAGGCTAACAGAGGCACCAGCAAACAAAGCCATCACAGAGGCAGTAAGCGCTATGCAACAAGCAGGGTTATTTGGCAGCTGGTAGGTGAGGGTCATTTCAGTGGAAAGGACAGGGGCTATTGAGATGGGATCTTTGTCACTTAAAATTCACGACAAGGTATAGTTCTAATTAATTGATTGATTGATTGATTACGCACACAGGGAATCTGAGGCTCAGAGAGGCTAAGGAACTTGCTCAAGGTCACACAGCCAATGAATGGGAAAACAGGTCAAAGCCTACGCCAAAAGCTCATGCTTTTTTCATCACACCACACTGCCTCTCTCCTGGGCCTCGGTCACCTCTGCTGGAACAGGGCAGGAGATGGAGGCAGGGCTGTGAGCTCTGTGTGGCCTGCTGTTTTACGACCATAAAACCATTTTATAGAGTCCTCTAAAGAGCCAAGGGCACTGCAGTGACCTCATTCTCCTGGCCTCCCGTTCCTCCTCCTCCTCTAATTGAGATGTTAACCTTCCTTTTTGTTCCCTCCCATCCAGGACACCTGGCATCATAGAATTCTCAAGGAGACAGCTGGTCATTCCCCCCTCCCCCAACCCCTACCCCTACCCAGCACTTCCTATGGCCTTCGACCTTGGTCATGAAGACATACACCGATGTGTGTCAGATGAGCATGTACTCTCTCAGCCCCCCTTTTCTTTCCTCTCTTCATTTCCCTCTCCTCCTATCTGCTCCTCCTCTCCCCCTCCCATGCCTCCTCTTCCCCCCTCCTGCCCGTTAATCTTGCTGACACCACCTCTGCTAAACTGCGGGCTGGTCCACAGGCACAGGCCTCCCTACCAGGACTGCCTGCGAGCTCCCTGGAAACCAGTGCTAATTGGTAAAAGATCACTTTCATTCTCCCGCAGCCTGAATGCTCCAGAGGAGGCTCTGCCAAGCCAAGATTTCCACCCCGAGGCATCAGTCACCAGGGAGACCGCTGGGGTGACCTGTCCCCCAGGGGCTGGCATTCAGACTGGCTGTTTCTACCTTGACACGTGGGTCTGGATGATGAGTGAGCACACTGCCCCCCATCACATACACACTCGAGTGCCACAAGCCACAAAGGGCTGGAGAGCGTTTGATTAATGTGCCGTAGGCTTACTTATTTATATCATTTTACATAATTATCTTACATAAAGAGAGATCACGCAGTCGTTTATCCTGAGGGAGTCGATTATATATTAGTAGCTGCTTCCTTGATGCGAGTGCCTTATTCTAGACAATGTAAGTATCAATAAGATGTTTGCGCGTTAAATCGCATTTTAATGTGAACGTGGGCAAGGTTGCAAATGAACGCGCAACAAATCTCTGAACCTCAGTTTCCTCATAAGAAAAATGGGTTTAATCATTTTTGCTCCAGCTAGCTTACGGGGCTACTGAGAGATTCACGGAATGAAATTTTAATTTTTGTGGATAGTACTTTGTAAGGTTACTAAAGCACTTTATTACATCAAAGTAATGCTATTGTTAAAATGAAGACATAGTTGTCCAAGTAAATTATCACCTCCAAATAGAAAATCTGCGGTAATCCAATTCTCATGTACTCGGTTGGCTAAGATGAAAATGACACTTGTATGTTGTCCACATCCAGGCAGCGTCTCACTAAGCCCTCTGAGACTTGGGGAGCACTTTGCGGTTGCCTCTGACTTGCTATCGGCAGCAAAGAGTATCCTGTCCGAGGATGTCTATTAAAACCTTAATTTCAGGGCACTGGTTAACCTTGAGACCCCAGCCCTTATCCTTCTCTCCCCCTGATCAAGCTGAGATAAGAGCATGAGAATGAAGGGAAGTCCCCAGAGCCTCCTTGGGTGTGGCCCTTTGCACCTTGGAATGTTCTCCACCCCAAACTCTTGGGATGTTATGGGGCCAGACAGACACATGTCAGGGGCTCCCCACCAGGGCAGAAGTGGCTTGATGCATAGAGCGCCTCTCTTTGTGCACAACATTTTGAGACAAAATGGAATGACTGCCACTTGGGAGGGAACTCATTTTATTCAAATAACACCACCAAACAGCAAGATTTATGGCACAGTATTTCTGGGAAAGCGCTCGACAGCAATCAGATGCCTGTCTGTGTTACTGCCCCCTTGGGACAGCCTGCAGGTAGAGTCAGGGCCTAACTGTAAGAATATATGACAAAGGCAATGGAGACTGTGGTTTATAAATTGCTTTCTGATGCTGTTTGTGAAGGATGAGACGACAGTTGGTGTGGGTGGCAGCAGACTGCAAGATCAGTGGCAAATGTGTCCTCACCAGACAATTCAAAGACCTTGCAACACAGCTTTTCCTCTCAGAAAAGACTGATGAGAAACCAGGATCAACTCATCAGTCAAAACACTTGAACCCAGTGTCTCTTCTGGTTAACTCATCAGGCTAGGAGATATGAAGGAGACCTCTCAAAATATTCCCAACACAGACCAAAAGCTCTCATTTAGTTGGAAAGATGAGAGAGACTTCCTGTGGATCAAGAAAAGGGCCAGAAGAGAGGAAGAGAAAGAAGCTAACACTATCCAATCTCCTGCTGGGCCTGTGACACTTATATTACATCCTCCCATCTGATCATCATCACCATCAGGTAACATCTTCATCCCATTCTACGGATGGGCATACTGAGAACAGAGAGGTTAAGTGACTTGCTCAGGTCCCACAGCTGGTACATGGCAAGAAAGTGTTTGTTCTTAGGCTGCCTCATTCTGATGGGGCCAGAATCAAAGCAAAGTTTTTAAATTGACTCCCTGTTGATTTTTTCAGGGGTAAGCACCAAATTTTGAAAACCAAATAACATTAAGCTGTCCTTCCTCTTACTCAATGCACTTAAAAGGAGAGGGCTACTAACTCCCGATCTGAAGCTTTAATGTCCTTTTCTATTGATCAACTATATTTCTAAATAAACCATCGTTCCTGTCCACCCTACAGCCAAGATCTCTGTCTCTTTCCTGGCTGACTCTCCCCTTCCCTCACTGGAATCTTCCCACGTTCATTTAGCTTCTCTCTCTCTCTCTCTCTCTCTCTCTCTCTCTCTCTCTCTCTCTCTCTCTCTCTCTCTCCCTCACTCCACACACACACACACACACACACACCAATTCATACACACACCTTCCCACCACACACCCATATGCAAAATAAAATTAGAAATACCACCAGAATTTCAAGGTTTTTAGGGAACAGAGATCTTTGATCAATGCAGCCCAAACCAAGCCCTCCCGGGCAGGTTGAGAGGCAGGCAGAGCTTGTGAAAAGAGTCCAGACGGCCATGATCTGACACAAAGAGGCTCTAAAGGAAAAAATAACACTTGTGCTTCCCCATGGCTGCTCTGTGGCCACTGGAACTCACAGGGCTACGAGATCCTCAGAGGCCAACACCTGGCAAACGTGTCCAAGCTGAGTTTGTTTGTTTGTTTGTTTGTTTGTTTTTGCTTATAAAGTTTCCTGCCCCCACCCCTTTTAATTGTGATGTACACTGGTAGAATGCAGAGAGAACAGTATCTAATGATTCAAATATATAGGCTGAGCTGATAAGCACAATGGCCCTCAACGTAAGGGATTGCTCTTGTTTTAAACAACCGGTTGAGAAAGCAAGAAACAACGATTTATATATTGATATTATGTTTGCCTTCACCCAGAGGAGTGGAACAGGGTGAGGGTAAGGGGAGGTGAGACATGACAGCCGGGAAACTGAAGTGGTCATGGTGGCCCCAATACTCCTGCAGTGTTTCTAAAGCCTCTGTGTCCCTCACCCCATTTGACACACCAAGTGCACCCACCCACTTGGTGACCCTCAGCACCCACCACAGAATAGTGGAGTCGAGAGGGGGAAGGAATGGGGACAGGGAGATAGTACGGGATGCCAGGCAGATGCTCCTGGTTCAAGCTCTGTTGTCCTCCCTTCTCCCAAATGATCGCCCCCCCCCCCCCCCCCCCGGGGATCTCAGAGCGTTGCTGGATGTGTGTAGAGGCTGAGAGGGTGCATTATTCGTTCAAATCCAGGCTCTGCCACTTACCTGCTGTGTGTCTCTGGGTATGTGGCTTAGCGTCTCTGTGTCTCAACCTCCTCATCCATACAGTGGGGATCATTGAACTTCTGCTGAGAAGGTTAACAAAGCCTCTTTACGCTAAAACTTAGCACGGTGCCTGGTTCTAGAGCCCAGTAAACAGTGACACCAACTAGGAGCTAATGCTCAACTCGTGCTTACCGCGGGCAGGCCCTGCTTAAGGGCTTTATGTATATTGTCATGGAATCCTCACATCTCTGCCTTGCAGATGAGGAAGTGGAATCTGAAGATCACACAGTGGTGAACGGTGGATATTCAGACCCAGGGAGACAGGCTCCAGAGGCAGGATCTCGACCCCTCTGTGACAATGACGCTGGTCTTTATGGGTGTTGCCCCTGACCAGGCTGAATTCTAAACCCCCCAGGCTTCTCTCTGTCCCAGAGTGGAGAGCAGAGAGGGTTGTCAGCCACAGCAGAAAGGCAAGAGCAGATGGCAGCAGAAAGGTGAGAGCATCCACATCAGGGCTGAATCCAGATCCCAGCTGTAACCGGTGGCTGAAGCCAGGCAGGGCGCCCCAGCCCGCTTCCAAGGGGACCAGGGGAGGGGTGGGGAGCAAGTCCCCGATGCCAACAGGGGCGGTCAGAGAGCTGCCCACAGAGGGGAAGAAGGGGCTGCAGGATTGGGGGGTACTCAGCTGCCAACCCCGCTGCTTCCTGGCCCCCACTCGCTGGCGCCCAAGTGGGAGGACCGCAGCTGCCCGCTCCCTCCTCCCCACACCCCCGCTACCTGCCCAGTCCCCGAAGCAAATCGTGAGCAGGCTGCGAGCCAGCGGGGCCGAGCCCACAAGTTTGCAGCCTCGGAGAGGGCGAGAGCCGGCGTCCAGGGCTCCTCTTATCGGCGACCGGAGCTCGGTGAGTTCGTTTCCTCGCCCCTCTGCGGCGGTGCGGCGGCGGCGGCGGCGGCGGCAGCGCCGGGGGGCGGCTTCCCGGGAGTCCGGGAGGCGCTGGTCGAGAAGCCGGCGGCCGCCCGCGCCGCCTGCCTCGCCGGGGCTCCGGCTGTGCCGCCCTCCGCGGCGGGCGCGGCGGGCTCCAGTGCTGAACGGACAGCTCCCCGAGCCCCCGGCGGCCCCCGCGGTCTCCGCCAGCCCCTCTCGCTGTAGGGCCCGGGCTGGGGCCGCCCGCCCAACGCCCCCCGCTCCCCCAGCCCCAGTCCTCTGCCTTCCAGGCGCCGCGGCGCATCTGGAGGCTGCTCCCGCGCCCCCCTGGCGACCGGCGTGGGGAAGACACTTGCTTCCCCGGAGCCCGCGGCCGAGGGCTCTCTGTGGGGTGGGCAGCGCCCAGAAGCGCATGGTCAGAGGCGGTACCGAGCCCCCCCCCCCCCCAGCGACCACCCTTGGACGTGCCTGGCACTGGGTCCTGGGTCCCCATGCGGCCGCGGGTCCCCGGGGCACTGGCACCTTCAGAGGGGACTCCAAGGTGATCAGCCGCCCGCCCAGTGGGATGGGACAGCCTGGAGGGTGGCCTCCCGGGGTTCGCCCATCCTGGGTGCAGCAGCAGCCTTCCCAGAACTTTTCTCGCTCCTCGGGCTCCCTACTCCTTAGCCTTTGGAAAAGTTCTCTCTCTGGGGCCCCCCCGAATTCCATTTATGGGGGGCCTCCGAAGCTGGGTAGGAGCCCGGGCTGGGGATGAGGAAGGTGGAGAGGGGATGCAGCGGGGGCTCCGGGCGGCCGAGGTCCATTACTGATGAGCGGAGAGGCTGGCCAAGCACCCACCCCTGCGCCTAGGGCGAGCCTGTCGGCACTGAAAGGGTTTCGGCGCCATAGGCGGCGGCGTTGTTTGGGTTTCTCGCTCCAGGAGGGCGGGAGGCGGGCGGGAAGGGGGTGGGGGGGATATCGTCGCCTCAAATGAAAACGCTTTTTGCAAAGAAATAGCCGGGGCTGCCAGCGTTCTCACAGGAGAGGTGTGCTGACCAAGACCGGCTGACACAGGTACTCCGGCTGCCCCCACCTCGCCCCACTAGATGCCTCAGCGGCCTGTGTGAATGGATCGATTGCTTTCATTGATTTTTTAAAAGCCAGGTGGCAGCGGCGGCTGCGTGTGTGAACACAGACATACACAAACGCAGACACCCAGGCACACACAGATGACACGTACAGAGTCACACACAGTCCCTCCCTACACACGCGCACACACACCCCAAATATCACGGACTCCCCTCCCCCCCAAGCACACATACCTCCAAAGAGTCACATTACCTGTGAGGTCCCTAAGTGTTGCCCAAGATGGGGTGGGGGTAGGGACTGAGAAAGGGGAGGTGATGCAGGACTCCCATAATTTCCCTCGGCCCCACCCCAATCCGTTGCCTTCTCCTCCTGGGAGGTCTGAAGGAGAAATCCCAGACCTGGGCTCTTTTCCACTGCCATAACAGAGCCCAACCCCCTGCCCCTCCTTTCCTTACAAACAAGCCCCAACCTCGCTCTCCTTGTGTCTGACTTGGGGTGCCAAGGCGCCGAACTCCCTTAAAAAACCATGGAGGCCGAAACTGGTTCGGCTCAGTGGATAGAGCGTCGGTCTGCGGACTGAGGGGTCCCAGGTTCGATTCCTGTCAAGGGCATGTACATTGGTTGCGGACGCATCCCCGGTTGGAGGTGTGCAGGAGGCAGCTAGCTGGTCGATGTTTCTCTCTCATCGATGTTTCTAGCTCTCTATCCCTCTTCCTTCTTCTCTGTGGAAAATCTATCTATCTATCTATCTATCTATCTATCTGATTAAAAAAACACCAAAAAACCATGGAGCCAGCACGGGGGAGTACAGTCTGAGTCCCAGAAGCCTTGGCAGTCTTGGGGTCTCATGCCTGCTCCCCCCAAGTTAGGAAAGAGAGGAGGGGCGGTGGAGGGACAAGGATGGGGAGCATGGGCTGGTGTGAAGCTGGGCAGACAGAAGATGCCTGAGGAGCGCTTTAGGGCACCACCTGGATGCCACAGTAAGTTTTCCTCTCATTCTCTCCCTGGGCCCCTTAGGAATGTGATGGAAGATGCTAGCCCTGAGGCTGCTCAACGTGGTGGCGCCCGCCTATTTCCTGTGCATCTCCCTGGTGACCTTTGCACTCCAGCTTTTCCTCTTCCTGCCCAGCATGCGGGAGGACCCGGCGGCCGCGCGGCTCTGCTCGCCCGCGCTGCTCCACGGGGCTCTCTTCCTGTTCCTCTCCGCCAACGCCCTGGGCAACTACGTCCTGGTCATCCAGAACTCCCCCGACGACCTGGATGCCTGCCAGGGGGCCGCGGCCAGGAAGGCCCTGGGCCCCCCGCCCAGCACCCACTTCTGCCGAGTGTGCGCCAGAGTCACCCTGAAGCAGGACCATCACTGCTTCTTCACCGGCAACTGCATCGGCAGCAGGAACATGCGCAATTTCGTCCTGTTCTGCCTCTACACCTCCCTGGCCTGCCTCTACTCCATGGTGGCCGGCGTGGCCTACATCTCGGCCGTCCTCTCCATCTCCTTCGCCCACCCACTGGCCTTCCTCACGCTCCTTCCCACCTCCATCAGCCAGTTCTTCTCTGGTGAGTGGGTCTTGACAGGCAGGTTGGGCCCTACACAAAGACCCCACCCCGACCCCAACCCCAAGTTTGCCAGATTTAGTGAAAAAACAAAACAAAGCAACCCCACAACAGGATGCCCAATTAAATTATGATTTCGGATAAACAATGCATAACTTTTAAGTGTATAAGGATCTCCTAAATATTGCATGAGACATACTTATACTAAAAAATAATGTACTGTTACCTATCTGAAATTCAGTTTAATTGATCATGCTGTATTTTATCTTGCAACCTCTCTCTCTACCACAACCTCGTTCATTTCCTTTCTGCTCACCATGGTCCATTTGCTCACAGAGATGTGGTGATCCAGGCAGTATACCTGCTCTGTGCCAGGAGGGCTGGGTGCTGGCCCTCCTTCCATGCAGCCTGTGAGAGGCACCCATGTTTTTACCTTCCTCTGCCTGGACCCCAATGCTGCTCACGCGTTCCCCTAAGGAAGTTACCTTCCAAACATCTTGCCCACCAACCACAGTAAGACCAGCAGGGTGCCAGCCAGCCCCGGCAAGAGACTAAGATCTCCTGCCCATTACGTTGGACCCCACCAGGTGGTTCCAAACCGTAGATGCCTCAGAGCAAGGGGCACCTTGTTGGAGTGCAGCCATGTTTAATGATTGCATCCTCGCACCATGTCATGGTTCTGGTGTGGGAACTGACCCTCCAGGGGGGTCGTACACTTGCAGGAGCCAGACATGGGGGCCTTCGAAGTGGCGCTCAGCTGGGCACCCTGGTGAGGACTGTGTATAGTGTGCCCTGAGAACAGCAAGCTCCCGATACTTGGCCCAGAGGGACCTGTGGCAGTTCTCACCACTTTACCTGGCCTTGCGATTTGTCCCTACCTCCTGTTATTCCTCTCTGTCCTACCCTGGCCTTTGACTCTGATTGACCTGGTTTTTAACAATTGATAGCATGCACACATGTGTGTATGATATCAATATCTCTATTTCTCAGATGAGCAAACTGAGGCTCGAATGGGATTAGATGGCTTGCCCACAGCAGTACAGGGAGTACAGCATGTTTCCCCAGCCACTGACCTTTCAGGGACAAAGAAAGACAGAGTGCAGCTGCTTCCACTGAGAAGCCAAGATTGTCTTGATGTGCCTGGGCTGGACAGTCATAAAAATGTTGCTTTACTCTCGGGGGAGCCATTATTTCAGCCTTTGTTGGGGCAGCAGCCTAATCCTCTGCAGGCATCGAACTGTTGTGCCATTTGGCAGAGGGAACACGGAAAGTCTGGAAGGACCCAGCTAGGGGGGGTTGCCTTGAGGGCTGATGGCTAAGCTGGGCCCAGAACTCCGAGCTCTCAGGCCTTCTGGAACCTGGCGCTGGCATAGGAGGCTGCTGGGACTGAAATAACCAGGAGGAGGGAGGGTAGGTGGGCGAGCTAGGGGGTGGAGTGTGAGCACAGGCAGGTGGAGAGATGAGGGGAGCCAGAGAACCTAATTACACTTTCTTTTCCAAGTACTTGCCTTGGAAAAATGGATGGTTCCAAAGGAAGGATCTTGAAATGGTTTGATTTGAGATAAGCCAGGCTTAAGGCCTATCCATCTGTGCTAAGTTTGGGAGGCAGGAAAGAAAAAAAAGAGGGATCTATTTATTTGCTCTGGTAGAACAGAACCAGTAAGTACCAGATCCCATTCCAGCAGAAAGATGAGTGCCATTATCTTTTACCGCCTCACCATACCCACTAGGAAAAGAGGCCAAGGTTTGTAATCTCAAACTCTCCCCTCTCACCTTCCTTCTTTGCCGTCCTTCATTGTTCCCTTTGTATGTCCTTCTCTACCTCCCCAGTACACTCTGCATGTCTCCCTCCCTATCTCTTCTCCCCCTGTTCTCAGGAGGACAGTAGGGAGTTGGCAGGCCCAAGTTGTCTGTTAGATAGAGTGGTTATTTTCCAGCTGTGGTACTTGTCCTCAATGGTCGTACTCTCCCTGGACATGAGATGGCTGGGAGTATGGGCCCTGTGAGCTGGAAGTAGAAGAGGTTTTCTGGTGCCTGATGCCCAAGGGCCTTTAGCTGATGCTCAAGAGGTAGGAGTCTGGTCAGGTGCATTTTAGAAGTTGTCTTTTCTTGTGGCTTCATGAGGTCAGTGTTGATTGTGTCACCTCTCTGAGCCTCATTCTTCTCATCTAGGAAATGGAGATGACACATCTGATCTGTGTCATGACATTTGTATAAGTACATCGGTGTGGGGGATGCCTCCAGAAAGACCAGACAAAAGGAAAGGGGATTAACTTTGGTTGAGCACCTATTATGTGCTACCCACTGTGCAGGGCTCATTTCATTCAATCCTCGCCACAGTTCTGTGAAGTAGGTATTATCATATCCAGCTTATAGGCTCAGGAACAGAAAAGGTTAGCAAGGTTAAGTTGCTTCAAAGCTACATAACTATTTATGATTCCAACCCAAGATTTGGGCTCAGGGTTGCTGGCCTCCAGAGCTCATATTCCTTCCCCCACACCACACTGCCTTTCTGAAGCTGCTTCTTGATGAATTAGCCACTTTTTAAAATCTATATCTATATCTATATCTATATCTATATCTATATATTATTGATTGTTTTTTTTTAGAGAGGAAGCCAGAGGGATAGAGAGATAGAAACATCGATGAGAGAGAAACATTGATCAGCTGCCTCCTGCACACCCCCTACTGGGGATGTGCCCACAACCAAGGTATATGCCCTTGACCAGAATCAAACCTGGGACCCTTCAGTCTACAGGCTGACGCTCTATCCACTGAGCCAAACCAATCAGGGCTGAATTGGCCACTTTGGGAGGGAGGGAGCCTCTTGTCCCTGACTGTATGTTAAAGATGCCAGGCAATGATCTGTCAAAGGAGTTATAAATGCTTGGTGGGAAGCAGGGAGGGAGAGATTGGGTGGTGTGACCACTCAGGCCTTTAGAAACACTCTGATTTTTCTAAAAGAAGCAGAACTATTATTAGATAGTTCAGAGAGCTGAGGTAGTCAGATTAGTCAACTTCAAACATTTCAAGAAAAAGCAGGTCACCAGAAGAGCCTTTTGTAGTTGCCACAAGGGGCCAGGAGAAGGCCACGGGATCTTTTCTGCATGCCTTGATTTAGTGCCAGAAATAAAGCCCCTGAAAAACAGCTTCCATCAGCTCAGGCTTGTCCCCGAGGCCGAGATGCAAGGCAGGCCCACACTTGACAGCTCTGATGTTCTCAGGTCCCAGCTCAAGGGTCATCTTTGCCTGTCAGCATTCCCAGAACCCAACGGGAACCCTGGTCCCTGGATCCTTCATCCTCCATGTGCTGCCTGAGCTAACCTGTGCTGACAAGAAGAAGTGGGTCAGAGGGAGGGCCAACCCAATGTGAGCCCCATCCCGCTGCTGCCCCCAGCCAGCCAAGGGGCTCCTCAAAATGCCAGCTGGAACGAGCTTTCCCTCCCCAGGCAGATGGACTTATTTGTCACCAACTTTGCAAATGGAAACCTGCTATCAAGCTCCCAGGGGCTGAGGGCAAGAGGAGGCTGCTAATGAGCAAACCCAAATCCTCCTGGTGGCCAAGTCCATCGATGCTGAGACTGGACAAGTTTTAAGAGCCCAACCCCAGGCGCCAGCTCCCTCTCTAGCATCCTCAGCTCACCCCTCTCTCCTCCTAGAAAAAGCCCTTCTCCTTTTTCCAGACCAGAAAAAGAAGGCAGGAAGATGGGCATCTCTGGCTCAGGGATGTTTGTGTCTAGGCGCTGCCCAGAGAAGCTTCCTTCCTCCTCTGGAAACTGGAGCCTGGGGAGCCCAGGGACGAGGTAGACCTGGGCCAGGGGAAGCTGGTTGAGATTTGCAGAGGTCAAGTAGGTTGTACGGTGGGGTCTGGAGCAGGTGGTGGTGGGCTTGTCCTGCAGGAAGAGCAGCTGAGGAGGGCTTTCCAGTTCTCTCGTGGATTCACTGCCCTGGCTGCTGGGCAGGTCAAGGTAGGTGTCTCTACCATGGCTGCCAAAGTTGCAGCCCAGCTAGGACTGCAAGTCCTGGGAAGAAGGAGAAAGCATGATGGTCTAAAAGGAGTTAATGTTGAGATCTTTTGGGGTCAAGTCTCTTCAGCAGGGAGCGCTGTGCTGCACGTGAATCAGAAAGCTGGCCACTTCACACACAATTTTTGCTGAATCGTGCAATCCTCTGGAGCCATTGTACAGATGAGCAAACTACAACTCAGAGAGGTTAAGAAATGTGTGCGAGACCACAGACCTGGGAGATTCAAACTTAGCGTGGACTGACCACCCCTACTCTGAAGAAGAGTGTGGGACCTCTTACTCAGATGATGTTTAAAACCTGGTAACAGAGAGTGCTTGTTTAGAGAGGTTTACAGGAGGTCCCCCCCAAGGTAAGAGGCTGGACTAGTGACCTGGGGGCCTCTCCGCAGGCTTAGCAAGCTCTGACTGACAGGAGAGCTCTGGCCAAGTGTACCGGTGGCCATGGTGTCCTCCTGTTAACACTAATGACTGGTCTCTTCTCTCCTTTGGAGCTCTGTGCTGCCCTGGGAGCTTGTAACTTGTTCTTCTTGATGACTCGGCCCTGCTCCCCATCACGCTGTCACCTTCCTGAGCCCTCCCGCGGATGTTTCCTGCTCCCTGGGAGCAGGTGCTTCAGTCTAGACAGCTGCCCAGGCGCCAGCTCCCTCTTTAGCATCCTCAGCTCACCCCTCTCTCCTCCTAGAAAAAGCCCTTCTCCTTTTTCCAGACCAGAAAAAGAAGGCAGGAAGATGGGCATCTCTGGCTCAGGGATGTTTGTGTCTAGGCGCTGCCCAGAGAAGCTTCCTTCCTTTCTCCCCAACATCCCCAGGCCTCCCCTGGCCGTCAGCACTAAGGAAAAGTTAGGGCAACTAGTTTATCCTTCCTCTCCGTCGCTGCAGCGCTGAGATTGCTATAAAATATCGCTTCAATCTCATTAATCTCCCTCCCTTCCCAGCAGCGCCTGCAGTGGTGGCAGGTCCCTACGTGGCCTGAGTATAAAGCGATGCTGGTGTTTCCCCGCCCCCACCCCCACCCCACCCCCTGCAGGAGCTGTCCTCGGTTCTGAAATGTTCGTCATCCTCATGCTCTACCTCTGGTTTGCCATCGGCCTGGCCTGCGCGGGCTTCTGCTGCCACCAGCTGCTGTTGATCCTCCGGGGACAGACCCGCCACCAGGTGCGAAAGGGGGTAGCGGTGAGGGCCGGGCCCTGGCGCAAGAACTTGCAGGAGGTGTTCGGGAAGCGGTGGCTGCTGGGCCTGCTGGTCCCCATGTTCAACGTCGGAGGTGAGAGCTCCAAGCAGCGAGACAAGTAGCAGTGGGCACGCCCATCCTTCCTCTCGGGGTCTTGGCTCCTCCTGAACTTGAGATCATGGCACCTTTGTCTCCACCCATGACCCACCACAACCTGGGTGGGTAATGTCCTAGCAGCCACCCCTGGTCTGTGACATAGAGAACAGCACTGGCCGATGGATCGACGACAAGGGTGGGAGGGAAATGGCCCCCCAGGCATGGTTACACTCTCCATGGGCTAGCCCAGGCGGGTGGTAGGAGGCCTCTGCTTTTGTCTCTTTTCCTTGGGGCCCCTGCTTTGCCCCTCTGCCCACTTCATCCACTCGCCCTGCCGTGTCTCCTGTCATCACTGCCATCTGCTAGATCTCGTCCTCTAAGCCCCATGTTGGGAGCAGGGAATGAATTCTTGTTGCTGATACGATGCTCCCTGGGACCTGGAGTCTGGCAAAAATGTTTAAAATTACAAAGTGTTTAAAATTACCAAGTCTGCTCTGCCAACTGCCAGGGAGGTTGGGAAAGGAGGGGGAGCATCTTCGTGCCCTCTGAGGAACTGTGGGCAGTGAGAGGGAAAAAGAACGCAGTAGCTTGCTGCCCACCCCACCTCCCCAAGTTGCAAGGCCCTTTCTTTGGGATGTAGCTGCCAGTGGCCTGGGATTTCCTTTCCAGCCGCTGTCCCTGGGCAGCCCACTCCAGCTGGCCACCCAGCCCAGTCCAGGACCTGGCTGGATGCTTTCTTTCCCTGGCGCTCTTCCAATCTTTGCTAGATGCTGGGAAAAGAAGGAGAGGGGAGAAAGGAAGGGAACATACTTATAAATGAGAGGCACGTGACTACATAAACATATAGAGGGGAGAGAGGGGGGGGGGAGAATGCACTTAGGGGAGAATAAAGATGGTGACACAGAGGCTGAGTGCTGGGATATATGAAGAGTGAGAATAAGAGAAGGAAATGGGATCATTTCTTCCACGTATAAAGGACATTCTGGCAGCTAAAGCTGTTCAACGTTAGGGTGGCTTCCTGGGGAGGCAGTGAGTGCCCCAAACTGGAGGTATTTCAGCAGAGACTAGTCATCTAGCAGGCACGCCGGGAAAGAATCTCTGCACAGGCTTAGGAAAGGGAACATCTCTCCCCTTCTCCAAGATTCTGGTGTCCGCTTTGTGATCGCCAGGCCCATTGATTTGTAGAGTTATCTGTCTTCATGGAGGGTGTCCATGGGCACAGAGGAGTCTTAAAATTATGATGCAAACTTTTAGGATCCCACCCAGCCATCGAGGAGAGAGTCTCTGGAGAGACAGATCTACCTGGGTGCTAATGCTAGTTAAGGCGTTGGCATTCAAGGATAGGGAGATGGAGCAATTCAGGGGCAGGTGGGGACAGTGGTGGGGAGACCTTGAAGGTCATGCTCAGCTCAGAAGGGGAGATTGGGAGAGATGAGGCTGTGGAATGAGGAGACCAGAATATAGGGGTGCAATTGCCAGACCAGCGCGGTTATCTGACTGGCTCTGAATAGGGAATGGCTGTGTGTTTTGGAACCCAGAGGACCAGACCCCTGGAGCATATGAGGGAGTAGGGACAACACATGTGCCCCCTTCTGACCGGGTCCCAAGGCAGCAGGGCTGAAACCCACACCCTACAGTGCCCAGCTGGTGACCATGGCAACCCCAATTGTTGCTATACAACACCCTGAGTTCTTGGGCAGAAATTTGAAGGACTTAACCTTAGTCCTGCCTTCATGCCCCCTAGAGGGCTAATGTAGTAATGACTCCATCCACTAATACTTCCTCCCATATTCCTTCACTCATGCATCCAACATGTATTTATTTAGTGCCAAGTATGTGCTCTTCCAGGTACTGACATACAGTAGTGACCAAGATAATGAGATTCCTGCCATCAGGGGCAACTAACTTGTCGCTGTTATCCAGGCACAGACCAGAAAAATGGTCCTTCTGCCATCTTGGTAGTCAGCAGGGCAGGTCACTTGGAGAGGAAAAATATGGCAGAGAGAGCTGAAGGAGCACCCAGGCTGCTGGATGGAAAAGTCATTTGGGGGCAGGGGGGGGGTAGTGGTGAGCATCCTCACCCTCATTCTGGCCATACTTAGGTGGTGGGAATGGTGACCCAGGCCTTGGTTCTCTCTTGACTCCAACACTCAAGCTTGGAAGCCAGCCCAGCCATTTGCAGCCTCCTGGAGCCTCAGCTCAATGAGGCCGGACATTGGGGGAGGAAGCCGAAGGGAGACCTGCAGGAAGTTGGCTCCTGGTGGATTGGACAGTGTGGGGGTGGGGGTGGGTAGTGGTGGGGAAGTTGCCAGTTGTGGGACTTGAGTAACATTTGTATACATGACCCTGCATCTTCAATGAAGAACATCAATAAAATATGTGGTTTTAAATTGGATTTGATGTGATTGCATGGGCACTGTGGTTGGTAGCAGGGCTGGAATGTACTGAAACAGTCATACTGGCTATTAAAATATTTAAGGTAAAGATCAAAAATACTTCTGTTCAAGTGGGTACATCATCTCTGTCTAGACGGCTGCTGTCCCAGGTGCTCTTGCTCCTTCCCTGGGGCCCTGGTTCACCGCACAACCCAGCGATTAAGAGGGCATCTATGCGGGACCCCCAGGACCCTGCCCCACTCTTTCAGCCAGAACCCATTGTGATTGGTCAGGGTTGGGGTGTGGTTGGTAGTGCTGGATCTGTGAACCCATGGGACCAAGGGTGGACTGTCTGACCTGGGATTTACTGCCTCTTCTCCCACTCCTTCTCTCCTCCCACCTCTTTCCATGTCAGAGGACAGGTGGAGGGAGAATGAAGAATCCGCCTGATCCTTCAACACAACCAGGGCTGACCACTCCTGAGGATCAGCCAGGGCCCCCTGCTGTCCCTCACCCTACCGACAACACCTGGAGACCTTGGGCTGCCCAGCCCTGGGGACCACAGGGAGGGCTTGAGCCCTGCAGGGAGTGGTACCTGAGCAGGTGAATGGACATGACCTCGGATGCATTTTAAAGATGTGCAGGCCTGGGTTGATAGAGACACAGCTGTAAGGTGCTGATTTTACTTGGGCTGTTGAACAACCTTCAGCCTAGGCCGGAGCCTGCATTCCCTGAACACACACCAATGGGCGGCAGCTCCCTGATATGCAGGGGCAGGTGGTGAGAGATGAATGGAGCTGTGGCTAATCCCTAATGCTCAGCTGGTGCTCAGCACATTCTAGAGCATGGGCTGTACACACTCCACAGGGCAGAGACACCTGTCTTGTTCACCATTGTATCCTGGTTGCCTAGCACAGGGTAGGCATCTAGTAGGTGTTCAATATTGACCAGATGAATACACAGCTCAGTCTCTCACTCCGCATCTCTCATTCCCCTCATGTGCCCAGCATTGTGCTCTGCACATTGTGGGTCTAGAGATGGATGGGACAACTCTTACGGTGCCTCAGTATTCCTATCTGAAAAGTGGGCACTCTGCTTTGGCCCATGCCCTAGCATCAGATTAGGCAAAGTATGAACTGCCATATGAGAGAAGGACAGACTGAAAGAGACCCGAACCACATTCCCCTCCATTATAACGAGGAAGCCAGCCCTTAGGTCCCCAGGGCCATCTTTTAGCCAATCTCCTTCCTAAGAATATGGCTGTCTTTGTTACTTTATACATTTGGTCCTCTAAGTGCACTGGCTCCTCACTGAACCCTCTGCCTTCCCCTCGTCCCCCTCCTGCCCTGTCTCTGGGCATGCTCTCAGGGAGGCAGCCCCTCCTGAGGGGGAGAAAAGGAGGGATGTGTATGGAGCAAGGATGCCTTGTCCTGCCCTGTCTGAGATGAGCTATTATAGAAGTGAGGCAGAACCTTGGACCTGGACACCAGCCAGGGGGAGCCCTCTTTTGCGGGGGGGGGGGGGGGGGGGGGGGTGGCTGGGATGTCTGGGGTAGCTCAGCTGCCTGGATGTTGGCCTCTGCCTCTGCCCTCATTCCTCACTGTGTGGGTGGTGCTGGCCCAGCTCCTCAATTCATTCCTCAAACATTCATTGATGCCAGGCATGAGGCCAAGAACCAGGAATTCAAAGTGAATGAGACCTATTACCTGACCTCGTGGGGAAAAGGACCAATTGTAGAGGGTTTAGGTTCAGTGGCTGATGGGAAGGAGAAGGACAGGGTGCTATGGAAGCCCGGAGGAGAGCACGCCCTTGGCTTCGAGGAGGCTGGAAGACTTCCCCAAGGAGGAGACGGCAGACTCATGCAGGATGAATAGGAGTTAGCCAGGCAGAAAAGCAGGATTGTGGGTGGGAGTGGGGTAGGAGGGACTGTGCAGAGGCAGGGATGGCTGGTGATGGATGGGATTGCGCGTCTCCTTTTAGGAGTGATGGGGACACACGTATACATGCTGCAGGCATATTCCCTGTGGACCCTGCCCCCTCCTTCTTATAAAACCCTGACTCACCCTTGTTCGATGTTGTTCATAGTGAGTGAGTTGAGTGAGTTGAGCATAGATTGTCATCTACTTTTTCTAATGGTCAGTGGAGTTCTCCGGGGTGGAGATCACAGGGAGGGAGACAGCCTGAGAACTTCAGAGACCCCTAGACCTCTCTCTGGGCCCCTAGAAGGGCCTCTGGGAACTCCTTGCCAATCTTTTCTTCTCTCACAGCTTCAGAGATTGGGGTTGGAAGGAAACTTTTTACCAACATGGCTTCCAGGTGTAGAGTAGAACTGAAAGGCTGAAGACTGAAACATTTCATCATGTACAGTCCCCCACCCTGACTGGTGAGATACCCTCTGCACCCAGGTGCACACCTCCAGCCCACAACCTGGTGGCCCCAACATACCTCCTCCTTCAGCCTGGGCCTCCTCTCTCAGCCCCCCTCTCTCTCCTGTCCACAGGGCCTTTCCTCATCAGATCCAGCCCCTGGGGGAGTCTTCCCCTACACTCCTCAGGAATCCATTGTTCTGACTCCCTGCTTTGTGGGTTCCATCTCTCTGCTCTGCTGTGAACCATGGAGGGCAGGGAAGCTGATGGTGGAGTCCTCTGGTTTCCCCATACCTAGCGCATAGCGTAGAACACGATGTTGATGCTGCAATTCGACCACGAGTGATAATGACCAACATTTAAGGAACTCACTCCATGCCAGGCCCTTGTCATACACACACTTCACCTGCATTAATTATTATTTATTATTTATTTTTCTTTACTTGTATTATTTATTCTCATAGCAACCCTTGAGGTATGCTTTGTTGTCACACTCCTATTTTCCAGGTGAAGGAATTGAGGCACAGAGATGTTATATAACTTGCCCAAAGCCTCGTGACTAATGATTGGAAGAGCTGGGATTCAAACCCGGCTGTCTGCTCCTGGGTTTAGCATTTGAACCCAGATACTAGACTACCTTTCTTTAAAAAAAAACAAAAACTTTTTTAAAGGGAGAAAGAGAGAGAAACATTGATGCGAGAGACAAGCATTGA